GGGGGGGGGGGGGGTGGCGGGGAAGAAGCCCCCTATTGCCATAGGGGTGTGTGGCTGGTAGGGCAGCAGGGAACCGCGTCAGTGAGGCTAACTGGATTAGACACAGAGTGTCTTAACAAAGAGCTTGTCTCGCTTTGCGCGGGAGTAGGAAAGTAGGAAAGAGCAGGGAGAAAGGGGAGGGGAGGATTAGGAATGGATCGTGGTCACGTCCTAGTGGCTAGGGAAATAAAATGTGAAGCCCTTGCCTAAAAAAAATTATTTTTTTGCCAAGAAAAGGATATGAAAACAAAGTAGTGGTAGCAATGACCGCGTGCCTGCCTAGAGTCCCAGATCAGCCTGTATTCTGAGGTTCAAAGAGATGGCCTTCTCTCACGGACCTCCAGCTAGTCCGTGCACAAAGCGTGCTTCTGCGTGGCTCTGTTCGCGTTGGGTTCACGACCGCCACCGGCAAGGCGAGGAAGCTACGTGTGTATTGACCGTACTCACGTGCGTTCTGTTTACCCGGATAACTTTCTCTCTTCTTGGCCCCAGGTGCCGCTTGCGGTAAACTTGCAACCTTTACTCAGTTTAGTTTCATGGTTTATAATTCTCTAAAAACTCAGCCGAGTGAAGAAAAAGTAGACTGCATCTAATCCTTCTCGTCTGTCACCATCTCTGTTTAAAGAAGAAAGAAACAAAGGCTGAAGAGGTCACGCACCGTCCTCAGCTCACGTGCCTCGTGTATCCTACCTTCTCTGTGTAAGAGAAGCGCAAAAATAAACGTGCTCTGAATTAGCACTTGCGGTTTCTACATCGGAAACGTTTTTGATGATCTTTTTATCTAAGCTTTGTATATGCCCTGAACATGAATGTGTGTGTGTGTGTGTGTGTGTGTGTGTGTGTGTGTGTATTTTCTGTATGTTTAAATTTTAAGTGATACTTGGATCTCTGCTCAGTGTTTCAAGACATTGCAACTTTGGGGATTAATTTCCATAGTGACATATTGAGGCCAAAAGGACTAATGGGTGTTTGGATACTTACAGTAATTAGAATACCCAAGTTTTTAGACCCTAAGAACAACCTAACAATGAATCACAGCATGATTAGTCCTGATTCACTTTCATTACCTTACAGTGATGGGTCTCTTATCACTGATTATCAGTTTTACATAATGCTCCCTACTGACTGGAAGAGGAAACAATGCTGTTAATAATAAAGTTGATTTTTGCATGTATTCGAAAATATTGGGCAGTCTTCTGATGAGCAACTGTGTTAATTTTTTTTCTTTTTCTTTTCCTTTCCCTCCTCTGATGGAGTTCTTAGCGTGTGAAGTTTTTTCTCCAGAAAAATCTCTGATCTTTTAGCTACTGATATCTAGTATGATAATTTGTTCTGAAAATGTTTTCTGGCACTTGATTGATACTATGGTGTTACGAATCTCATGTGTAGAGGTTGGTGATGGCACTTAGAAACAGGCAATGGAGCGCCTGGGTATCTCGGATGAGCATCTGACTGTGACTCAGGTCATCATCTCACAGTTCATGAGTTCGAACCCCACGTCGGGCTCTCTGCTGACAGCTCAGAGCCTGGAGCCTGCTTCGGATTCAGTGTCTCCCCCTCTTGCTACCCCTCCCCTGCTTGCTCTCTCTCTCTCTCT